GCACAGAAGGTACGGGCGGGGGATGGTCTGGCGGTCTAATGTCTTAAAAGCCAATGGGTTTGAGGGGAGGGGTCCCTCATAATCTCTTTGGCGCCAAAACTTGCTGAGCGGGAAGGGAAGGAGAGTGGGGAAGGGAAGGAGAGTGGGGAAGGGATTCAGGTGTGCTGCATTCTCAACCAGAATGTTTACCCTAAGTTCCAATCAAGTGTTGTTTTGTGCATAGGAGGCAAAGTCCTGGTCTCATCCCCGACAAGCTGCTAATTATCCCTATCCTTACTCATATAACTGATAGAGATGCAATCCAATATACATACTCTTAAATATAACTTTTAAAGTGTTAAGAGGTTTAGCATGCATTTCATAAATTATATAGTGTCTGACTATGCAAACCATTTAAATGATCAACTTGAATTAGGAGAAATACAATTCAAAATGAGAAAGACTGATAAGTATATGGTATTAGTAGATGATCACAATGGAGATTCTTATACTCTGCTTGATGGGAGGTTAAATGGAAAGCCATTTGGCAATTCTACCAAAAACAATACATTTTGTGTGATTCTACTTACATAAACTTTACAAGCATCTTTGCTGTGTTTCCTGACAGTGGTTGGTACTAGGGAGAGACAGTGAGTCAGGATGGAGAACAAAAGTGAAACTTCCAGATCCCTGTTTTTACCTCTTACCTGGGTAGTGGTGACAGAAATATTATCACTTTGTGATACTTCATGATTCGTGCTCTTTTAGACATCATACATCACTTTAAAGGTTTCAAAAATTAATGGTCTGAAAGCAAGGATTTAGGGAAGCCTCTCTAAAGAAGCCAGCCATTCAAAGATCAAGAAAAATGCATTCCTCATCGTGGGTATGGTGTGAAAACATATATTGAAAGAGGTATGAATCTAGTCCCCTAAATCAAAGATGGTACAATAAACAAGTACTATCTCAGTTAAAAAAATAAATTAAAACCACATTCCTATGATCAAGAAGCATCTAGTACAAGTTTTATGTTGAACAACCTTAAGGAACAGAGAGATGCTATTGCATAGCCTGAGGTGAGATGGGAAGATTCAAATAACATTGATAAATAACCAACATATTAATGAGTATTTCCTCCTTAAGGTTTTTGCATTATAACTATATACCATAAAGGCTACTTATTGTCTCTTTATTTGCATTATGATTGCAGAGAACTGGTGGAATTGGCAAGTAGCATGAGCTTGACCAATCTTCTGATTCTGCAAGTCAGAATTTCTTGAACCTCAGTCTCTTCAACTCTAAGATGATGGAGTTAAGAATAAAATTTCTAAGGTCCTTCTATCTCTAAAATTCCATTATTAAAGTTTTTTTAGATTTTACTGATTTAACTTTCCACAAGAAAAAGTAAGAAGCAATAGCTGCTACTCCATACTTTAAACATGCCAGGGGGTATTTTTATATATTAATTGTAAGATGAGTAATATTGTTAGCAATAATCCTCACTTTAAGATACTGTGTGCTCTTCCATTAATGCATTAGAAGTAGGGCTTTTAGAGAAAGTACATGTAGTGACACATTCATAAGCATTGTTACTGAAACACATGATATGATTACAGCCCAAAAGTCACAAACTATAGTGATTATCAATAATGTCTGTTTCTCTCTCTCTGGTTTTATTTTCTAAAAGTCCTAATTAACTGATCACAGTATCTTTCTGGTCCACTCAGGCATGATTGCAAGCTCTGCTTTCTCAGTAATCATTTGTAACAACATAAAATAATGAATCAAACACTCTGAATTGTTACAAGGAAGAAAAAAATGCGTACACTCAGATAAATCAAAATTTTTACAATGCCCCATTGACACCAGGAGACAAAAAGACAGGAAACTCATAAATGTAGAAGTTTTCAATATCACTAATAAAAACATATTTGCACAAACTGTTTTATTTATAAAATTGGTAAATACTATGAAAGTGAGAATACTCCATATTAAAAGGTATTTATTGAAACCATTACAGTGCTCAGGGTGTTCTAAACCCATTCAAATCTTAGCAATAACAATTCAGAAATGATTATCAAGTCTTTAAAAGCCTCATAATCTTTGATTAATAATGTTACTATCAGGAACATTTTTTTATTAATACAAGAAAAATTTATATTTTTGCTTAGTTGCTAATAAAACTGTGTAATTAGCATTTTTTTTAAAAAAGATTTATTTATTTATGTATTCAAAACTAGGGTACAGGACAGAGGCGCAGGGTTGGTGAGAGGATTCACCAGAGACAGAGTGGAGAAAAGAACAGGCTAAATGACTAAGTACACTACTGAGACTAAGTACACTGCTGAGGAGAGTAGCTGGCAGGTCAGGGGAGGTCTGCCGCACCATGTGGGTCACCTCCAGGGCAGGGATGAACTCATGCTGAAGTGGCTTCAGCTTCTTATTGCTGTACTTTAACCTGCTGCACCACCAGGGAGGGCCTGTGATTAGCACTTTTATTATTTGTGTATTAAAGTTTCAAGAACTAAAAGCATCATAGTATTACTTATCATGAGAAAAAACTCCAAATACTGAAAACATTCTAAGCACAAGGATTTTCATCAGCATTATATATTATACCGAAAAATAAAAATTATCTAATTGCAATAATAAAATGAAAAATAATAGCTATGAAAAAAAAATCTGACTTATCAGAGTCTCAATTGTTTTAAAAGAGGGAGTTTGAGAAAACACTATGAAAAACACATGTTTGTAATGTTAAATAAAAACCCAGCATATTAATTTAAACAGAATTAGAGCAATGACTACATTAGTAGAATTAGTGGAGAGGAAGAGTCGTTATTCTAGCAGAAAAGAAACAGCTAAAAGAGTTGAATATAGTTAATGTGAAGAGAGTGCTTTGGTGAAGGGGCCACTGATGTACTCATCCCCATGTACATTATATAAACAAACTACTTGCACAAAAATGAATAAAAAGCTAAACACAAATAAACCAAAATAAGTAACAGTTGTTTCTAGGAGGTTAGATTTTTACTTTTTCTATTCTTTTGCATTCTCACATTTTCTTTGATAACATGTCTTCATGAAAGTGTGGCAAGGAGAACCCCATCTTTCACTTGTATGTTTCTCAAGTTTACATGGTGTTTTCACTTGTTTCATCTCACTTAATCCTCATAACAACCCCAGGGAGCAAAGATTATCATCCTGAATTTTATAAGGAGGAAGAAAGAAGTTATGAAATTCATTCTATAACTACTGGCTTTTTTCTTTCTCTACAACCTAATTTATTTTTTTCTTTTAAATTTTATTTATTTATGCATTGAACTGAGGTGTAAATCAGAAATGCAGGAGACAGGGAAATAAGGATTGACCAGAGACAGAGTGGGGAGCAGAACTGGGGGATTTACTGAAATATACTACTAAGGGATGCAGTAGGAGAGAGAGGAGAGGTTTGCTGTGCCAAATGCGGGTCAGCTCCTTGGCCAGGAATCAAACTCAGGTAGTGGCAGTGATAGCCCTGAACCTAAACCCCTAGGCCACCAGAGAGGCTGGTATTCATAATTTAAAACAGAAAAAAGATATAAATAGGTAATAGGAAAGCTAGGCTTAGTGTTGAAGGTGAATGGAAGCTGGATTACCTAGAAAAAGTAACATTCTAAAGAGTAAAGCAAAAACAGTACTATTGGAAATGTCAGGACCACTTATATCAAACATATAATATTAAACATCTATGTACAGAATCCAAAAGTAGTAGAAAATTAGTAGACACAACTAATTTTCGATATAATGAGAATGTCCATGTGGGGTTCATAGCATATAAATTCAAACAGAAAACCTGTACCCTGGAAGATTTACTCTGTGGAAGTGAGATGGAAGCTGGCCCCTCTCTTGTAATTAGGGCAATGGGAGTATTAGTGTTGTGAGCAAGTAATTCCAATAAAATCAATATAGACATTTTTAAATATAAGCTTAAAATTATAACTATAGAATCAAGACAATGGCTTTCTCATTATTGATTGCTAGAATATTAGTCAAAACAACTATGGAATAAATAAAATCACACGCAAAAAATATTTTGTAAGCTTTGTTTTTCTCCACCAAAAGAAATTCAAGCTTATAAAGCAGATATGAAATGCTATGTCCTACATGTCACTTTCTGTAAACTCTGGAGACAAAATGAGTTACTTCTCTCTTCACACTCTAACACCACTAGGACAGTATGTATTACAAAGCACCATAAATAATTATTTACAGGCCTATCTGTAAACAGAGTTCCAAGAGGGCAAAAACTAGGTTATTTATGTTTTATCCTCTGTACCAAATAAAATGTTGGGGTATAAAATAGGTCCTCATAAAACTTTGTTTGAATTAATATCGAGCTATCTAACAAAGACAATGCAAAAGTCCAGTGAAAAGGAAATATACGGAAAAGACAGCATTCATTAAATGTTCTGTACATGCTCTATTTGCTTTATTTTACCATGGTTCAGCACCATGGACACAGTTTAAAATGCAACTCAATACCACTTCCTTCATTAAGTTCCTCCTGATTTTTTCAGGTTACAAATACCTTTCTCACACTTCTAAGTACTTCCTGTCTATATCAAAGTCTTTACTTTTACTCCCCTCCTATATTTTCTAAAAATTTCTTGCAGGGAAGATAAAGTACCTTATTTATCTTTGAATTTGCAATCTATATATTCCTTCCTGGCCTGGCACATAATACATACCCAGTGAATGTTTTTTTTTTTTT